TATGATGATAAAGTAGCTACAATCACTTTACCAGCATACATGTGGAGACTTATTTCATCAGCATGGTTATCAGCATGAAGCAGTTTCTTCTGTTAATGAGTACACGAGTCCACAGAGTATCATGAAGAATGTCAACATTGTAAAATGGCTTTTTTAAAAGGTGTGACCAGGAACCCTACTTCTACTAATGACAGCACAAAAACATTTTCATTAGTCCACCAACAACATGCGAAACTGAAAAAGCAAAGGCTGAAATGAATGTGTGCATGGACGAGAACACAAATACTGTACTGAAAAGTGGACTGAAGGACTGAAGCTATTCCAAAACAACATATGACTCTGCTCACTTCATTGTTTTTCGTGTTAATAGAGCGTCCCAGCATTAGGGCCAGTGACTTGCATGACCTGAAGGGAGGTCTAAAGGCATGAACGCTTACTAGGATTAATGTTTCAGTTCTCAGCGGAAGAACTCAAGGGGAACTGAACCATCTCCACAGAGGCTTTAACTGTTATGTGTCTGAGGCATAGATCCATCGATCTGTTTTTGCATGTCTTTGACCTCTGTGTGAAAATGTAATCATGCATGCATAATTTTTTGGCTGTAAAAGAGTTGAAGTGATGTTATGATAGAGAGGATCGTGTTTCAGGTTGTTGTGGTGCGTTTTAAAGGATTCTAGGAGGTTGGGGCTTGGTCTTTTAAAGTACCTCATAACTTTCAGGTGGCTGTGTGGGGCATGTCTGGAGATCTGATAGACAATGTGGTGCGTGGATGTGCATGTGTCTCTTTGCAAATTGCTTTTAAAAGTCCAAGTTTCAATGTGAAAAATCAAACATATACTCATTTACATTGAGTAGCCTACTATAGTCAAAGTGTGCTTGAAGTTTTTACCATCCGCTCTCTCCAGTTTACTTGAACCATGAACTTGAATGTCTTAAAAAATGCCATTTTATGAGATTGTAGACCTCTTGACTTTCTAAGGTCATTCAAGTGTTTTTATTGCTGAGTAAAGGCCACAAAAATGTCCAAATAATTGGGCTTTCAAAACTTGCAATATATTGTTTCCACCATACGTTACCCATTTCTTGGGCTGTTTAACCACAGATAACCCCTATATAATGCAGGACTTTCTTTAGTGTTGAGATGGTTTTGTAAAAGGCATGTTTGTATAGTAAACTTAGAAAAATTTTTTATTAATAGGAGTAATTTGGCAATTGAGCACTTTTAATGTATGACACCTAGAAAAGCATGTGATTTCAGCCACCCATGAAGCACAGAATTCCTCAGAGGCAGGAAGTTGCCTACAGGGAGTTTAACAACTTGTGTGGCATTATCAAGTTACCTTTAATTCACTTTTTCCCCCACCTTCTTTCACTTCAGTCCACTGTGTATTTTTGTTGTTTCATCCACTTAAGGTGGTTCAGAGAGGATAATGTAAGTAATGGTTACAGCTGTGACAAGGAATGAACCTTACCACATTCAAATCTTGTATTTATTAGTACAAGCACATGGGCACTGAAGAGCACCTTATATGTGGTGTTTATGTGTGTTGCTTGAATCAACAGAGCACTTGCATGTTAATTACCTCTGTGGTTTCGTTCTGTGAAGTTTGACGCCCACAGCTGACCAGGTTGTTTTTAACAGAATCTCGAACAATAATTAAATTGTTTTGGTTTACCTGTCTGCTGCTTGGAATAGCCTTAATTGAAAAGGAACACTTTTCCCCCCTTTTTTGTATGTACAATTTGGAAATAAAAATATAAAAATGCAATTATTGGTATTTTACTAAAAGAGTTTATAAACTCAGTCCCAACAAACTTACCAAATTTGACTCTTTAACATTTGAAGTTTATTATCAAAAACATTTATAGTCATATGAGATGGATTATATAGGTTTTCCCACTGCACTATATTAAACAATAATACAGTATTATTAAATAATAAGGGATGAAGATATTTCAGTATTGTGGATCTTGTACACAGATCACATGACTGTATACATTTTCATTTCTAAAAAATATTTAATAATATATTTTTTATTTTACATTGTCTTATTTTCCATATTTTATTTCTAATTTATGATAGTGTTTATTTACATTTTATTTTTGCGTGGTCTAGTGATCTCATGACTTTGTTTGTCATTTCAGTATCATGAAAGTGGCCTGCTATGACCTGAGTTTATGAGCGGCGAGAGCTGTAGGGTAATGTGATAAAGACAAAATAGGTGTTTGAGTAGCCATGCACTAGACATTCACATGTGATTTTCAAATCTTGTTTACTTAACTTAATTTATGTTTAAACGTCAGCCACTGGTTCTTTTTTATATTCATTTGTAATTAGTCAATTAAAAGACTTGTCCCACTCCATTTCTACTTCTTCCTTGCTGCTGTTTGCAGTGTGACATGGCTGCCATGGTATCTGGTGAGGTATTCCTGTGACAAAAGTCTTAATGTTGTCAGAACAGCTTCATGATACAATGAGCCCAGAGGGTTTCCCTGGAGAGAAGAATTAAGGGTACATGTGTCCTTAGTAACAACCACATGCCCACGTCAGCTCAATTGAATCTGGAACTCTCAATTGTTGTGCAAAACCTTTACCGCTTTCTCTCTGAGAAGACTATTTGAACACACTTACTCCTAAGATGTTTATTGTAAAATTCAAGAAGTTTTCTAGCACTGTTTCTACAGTTAAAGCATCTAAACAATTATATACATCTCAAGGACAACCTGAGGATGTACTGTTCCTACATTTACACCACTTTCCTGAAACTAAAAGAAAACAAGGATGGATTTATCAAGTGCATACATCAGTTTTTCCCTTTTTTTACACCTCTCAAACTACATGTGGTCAGAGACCTTAGACAGGATGTTTCCTGTTTGAGACCCTAGACGGGATGTTTTTCCCATGGAAAACAGTGTCAAAAGTGGAAAACGATGTTTCAGCTTACTATTATCTCTGGGCACTCCTACAACAAAGGAGAATGGATTAGTTGCTAAGCACGCAGATAGTCAGATATTTAATGGGAACTAGCAAATTAATGAAGCTAAAAGTGCAGGTCATGAATATGACTATGCTGACTATGCCTCTTTCATTTAGTTTTGCATATATAATAAACCTAGTAATATAGTAAAAAGTATATTTTATGTTTTACAAACATGTGATTTTGATTTTATTTATTTTTTTAATTGTGTAAATGGGAATCCTATAGCCACCAGACACTGGTAATAAGTGGTCCAAGTATGTGAGGGTCACAAATGTTTCAATTAGTGCCTGCAGAAAGCAAAAAGAAGCACACATAAAAAGGCTTCTGGCGGTAGATATATGGCAAAAAAAAAAAAAT